TTTCTTATTTCTGGCCGAATTTGTTTCGGGATGTTACCGATTACGTGCGAGCGTGTGATATTTGCCAGCGCACCAAGGTCGAACAAACGGGTCCCGCAGGTCTCATGGGTCGCCGAATTGCGGACGGCCCATGGAAAACCGTAGCTGCCGATATCATAGGACCATTGCCGCGTAGTAAATCGGGATTTCAGTACATTCTCGTTATTCAGGATTTGTTCACAAAATGGATGGAGTGCAAGGCACTCAGATCGGCTACCCGTAATAACTTCGTATAGCATACAACGTATATTTTGCAGAATCAGAGATTTATTCGATGCGCCATCCGGCAAAAACACAACGCGAAACTATTACGTATGCAAAATCGTGTACAGAAGCCGCTCTCTTCCATCTTTTCTCGATGGAACTTTTTCCATGCGGCACGTATCGAAGCGAAAGACGCCACTTCGGCGAAATCTAAATCTTCTGCGATAAAGCAAATGTTTGTCAAAGGCAAACGAGAATGAGAGGTGGAGGATCAGATATGGCATTCCCAGAAGAGCAACGTTGATTCGTGGAAAAGGCGGTGCGGGCTAATAAAAATACGTACGATCGCATTGCGAGAGAAAAATTATAATTTTAATTATTATTTCGAATAAAGAAAGAAAATCTCTCGATTATTTATATGTTAAATTCAATTAAATTAATTTGTCAAACTACTTCAATTTTCGAAAAACTTCTCTATTTCCTACATAAAAATGCGGTCACAGAAGCGAGATTCGTCGGAGAGGAGACTCGAGAGGCGAGGAATATGGAATAAAAGTTAAGCGAAGATGATGGAGGGAAGGCTGTAGGACGGGACGAGTTATAAAATGCAATTAGGTCGCATTACGCGGGAATGACGCAGCAAGACGCGGGGCGAGAGTAAAATTCAATTAAGAGAACCGAACTGGGTGCCATCGCGCTGCAACGGGAAGCGGGCCAGCAGTGTGGTGATTATGAGTAGACAAGAGAATAAAATGATGCGGGTGTCGCAGTCGGTGTTTGACGGGAAGGCAAACTCTCGTAAGAGAGTAAAATTACATCAATCGAGCGAGTGCAAAGCCTGATTAGAATGAAATTAAACTTGCAGACTGGCTAAACACAGACATGTCGTCGTCGTCGTCGTCGTCGAGAGAAAGAGGAAACGAACGCGTCGACGCGAGCGATTGCGACAGGCAAACAGAGAACGGACAGTGTCGGTATCGGTGTGGGACGAAATGAAAGTGGAAGCGATTTGTCGAAGCAAATAGCGTAAAGCAACGAAGCAGCAGTGAAAAATTATATAAAACTACAAGAAAATATTATTTTAAATATTTATCTAAAGGGAACTTTTGGCAATAAATGAATACATCAATTAGGTGAAAAATTATGACAGTAATGGAATTTATATGAAGATGTGTAAGACCAGATTGTTTCGAATACTTAATAACGGAGAAGGATTAATAATTAATATTTGTAAATAACGCAGAAAATCAGTCAGGTCTCGACAGAGCATATATTCGAAAAATTTCATTACGAATCATAGTATATCACATACATGACCGATAATCGCGCGCCATGTGAGAATGCATCATCGATAATGCAAATGGCTGTAAAGCTCTTGTTAACACTTGATGAGTTATTCACAGAGATCTTCTCTCCTTCGTATTTATGCACTGCCATACGACGCGCGCAACCGACAACTTGTTGCTTTCGAGTATCTCAGCTCCGAACAAATAGTAGCGGTAGTTCCGTTAAGAAGATATGTGTCGTTATTTTACTTATTAAAAAAATATTGCATAAAAGAAGAAAAGACGGAAAAAAATAACAATTAAAATTATAATATAATGAGATACTGTAACTTCCGATTATTGGATAAATAATAAATATTACATCATATCAATATTATAATACTACATAAATTTATTGTTGCAATCACCACGAGCAATATTCTTTGAATAATTTAAAATACCGGCCAACGTTACTAAAAGTATGGAACATTTCCATACATGCTTCATTGGATTTTGCGACGTACCTGACACTGGAGGCGCTTCTCTGAATGTCCACATTGTTCCTCCTGGCAGCCTCCTCGAGAGTAACGACCTCCTGCTGGCGTCTCCTCTCCTCCTCAGGCGGATGCAGCGGTATAATGATATAGTCCGGCTCCTTCTTCTTGGTTGACTGTTGATGTTCCTCCTGCATTCTCGTCGTCGTCGTCTCGACGACGACCTTCTTCTGCGCCTCCGAGCGCGGCACCTTGGTTCTACCGCTGAACCTGAGTCTGGAGAATCTCTGCAGGAAGCCGCCCAGACCGCCCTTTTTCCTCTCCTCGCTCTTCATGGTGGCAGTGGAGGAAGACGATGACAGAGAGGTCGAGGATGACACGGCGTACGGTTCCTTCTTCCTCGGAAACGACGGACGTTTCGCGATCGCAACGCTCGCGTGTTCCCTGTTTATGTTCAACGCGCGCTGACGTTCGTCGCCCTGACGTTCGTCGTGATGGTGATTCGTATCAACTGCCGCCACAGCTAGCACAGACTTCCCACTACTGCGTTTAACGAGTGAATGCGGGGAGTCGCTGGGTGGGGAGTCGTAACCAACACCGCGGACATTGTGTCCCTTCTCCTTCTTCTCCACCATTTCCATCCCGTCTCTCTTCTTCTCCTCCTCTTCTTCCTGCTCCTTTTTCTTCGCCTGCTTCTCGATCACGACTCTCCACAGACGACCGCTGGTGCTAGAGCTGCGAGAACGCTCCTCGGGGTCCTCGTTTAACGACGCGTTCTCCAAATTTTCCTTCCACTCTCCCTCCTTACTCTCGTCCTTCGGAGAAAGCTGCACTGTTCTTTCCGGATAAAACTCACCGATGAAACTCTTCTTGCACGCATTTTCAGGCTCTTCCTCGCGCTTGTCGCAAGATCCTTTGTCGACGTTGGAAGACACCGCAAAATTTTCAAGGACACTTTCAAACTGGGCCGGTTTTTCATGGAGAACGACTTTATTCTTCAAGCAGGACACTTCTATGGGTTTGGTTTCCAAGCAGGGATAATCTACTTCGTCATCTAGCAGTCGCGGGCTCAGCTTGCTAGCATCGCCACAGACTGAAAATGGATCCGAGTTTTTTTTTATCTGACCGAAGAGTGAGTCGTCCTGCCGCCGCTCAATTGACCGAGTATACAAATCCTCGCTGATGTTCGTATCGGAGTCCGTCTGACGAATCGCTTCGGCAATTCTCAGCGCTGAGGAGCGCCCGGATGCGTTTTCTTCCAGCTCGTCGCAGGCATCCATCCGGTGGAACGCCGATCGTGAGCTCTGCAATGATTTGATATAATCGCACTGCTGTGCCAGCTCGTAGCTGGCGTTGTTCAGCACGCGTTTCCGTCCACAAGTCTCAGCATTGTCGTGATTCTCGTCCTTAAACTTCCTCTGGAAATTCCGCTCGTCCACCTCGAGCTGCTGTGCTAGCTCGTAGCTGGCGTTATTCTTCACCCACCGATTCCTCAGCCGACCGGACGGCGTCCGCTGGATCGACTCCATCGCCAAAATGGCGGCGCTTGCCATTTCAGAAACGGCCGCCTCCTCCACTTCTCGCTTAAATTGCCGAATTGCCTCGTCGAGATCGTTCTCCGTCATCATCGCTATGTCTAGTACACAGTTGGCGTGATCCTGCGTCTTCACCGTCGACGTTTTCGTCGGTGTTTTATCACCGAGCGCCTGCTGCTTCTCACAGTAAAGATCCGCGCACTCGACCTTCGTTCGTTCTTCATTCTTCTCCTTACGATTCGCCAGGTCGCCGTCCATGATCACACTCTGCGCCGGCTGCGTTCTGACCGAACTGGTCAACGCGACTTTCATTTGCGCCTCGTCGTTCTCCTCCGGGTTCTCGGCATCCTCGTCTCGCGGGTTCTTCTTCGGGGTCACAGCGGTCTCATCGTCGGGCATCGCGGTTTCGTCCGCCATTTCGTGGCCGTTCATCTCGTCGTCGCACGTGGCGACGACGCCGCAGAGATTCAAGTCTACCGGCACACTGGCCACCCGCGTATAGTTCTCGAAAAGGGACGACGTCGACACGTAGGAGGTAGTTCGCGAAGTGCGTAGACGACCTGGTGGCGAGTCCAAATCGTCGCTACGTGCAGACTGCTTGACACTACCGAGCAGACTGGGCGCGCTCTGCGACTTGTCCGTGAATCTAAAATTAAAGTGCTCCTCGTGGCTCCACCCTTGGTGCTGCTGTTGGCGGCGGCGATGGCGGTGGTGGTGGTGGTGATGGTGATCGTGTTGATCGTACTGTTGCTGCTGCTGCTGCTGCTGCTGCTGCTGCTGCTGCTGCTGTTGCGAATGCTGATGATGGTGATGATGATGATGATGCTCTGCGTTGCCACCGCCAGCTATATTTAACCTGGCTGTTTTCTGGCCGGATTTCAGCTCCAAAAGAGTATCCCGCTTCGTCTCCACGCCGATCTCTCGCAGATCGATCGTGTTTCGGTAGTCCAAAGACGTCGCGTACTTGCCGGACTCGCCGTACAGCAGCAGCTGATCCTCGAAATCGCTCGTCGTTAATCGGGAATCGTTTATCCCGACGCGCTCATACGCTTCGAAATCGTCTTCGTCGTCTTCATCATCGTCCACGTATTCTCGCTCCTCGTGCCAGAAGTCTCTGTTTCGTAAAAACGAACACAATCGAAATATACAAATAGCACGCACGTGTTATGTGTGTGCAAGATTTTATTTTATTATTTCTTTTTCTATACAACCAACACAAATAATAAAATATATTTAGTATAAATTCCAGTTCAAAATTTTTAATTGTTTAAACGCTTTATTTAAAAAATTTTATATTTTATATTTTAAATAATAGATTAAAATTTAAACTATATTCTTAAAGGACGGTTTTCTCATGCATACGTCGTAGCAATGATATGACAATTCGATAACGCATTTCCTAACGTTTATAATATCAGCAATAAAGTCAAGGTGGTCTTCCTCAAGGTCGTGATTGCATTTAGCTCGGCCGTAAAACGATCATCACGCGAGAGGCACGTCGACGGCGTGCGTTGCCAAGAAAACCTGAGCACTCGACACCCGGCTTCTTTGCACAAACGCACATATAAACTGTTTAACCCTTTCATTCTTAAACTGGAGCGGAGAAAAAATCCACTGCACTCTCAATCATTTAAAATCATTATAAAAAAATCATTATAAAACTATTTATCAATCTTTTCATAAATAAATAACTTAAAATCAATATTAATTTTAAATTAATAAATTTTTAATTAATTTTCAATTTTTAACATTTTACGTAGTATAAAAAGAAAAGTTTAAATTTTATTTTATGGAAGTAAAAAAGAAGGATTAGATAAGTAATAAAACTGATATGTAATAAATATTTGCTCGATAAAGGGGACAATTGGTATGCACTTACCAATGATCCTCGCAAACTGGTAATTCGAGAAATAATGAATGATTACAATAGCCATGTATCTCTATTTTAGTAACGCATGTAAAAATAGGCGGGTGTTAAACGATGTACGCGTGTGCGCCCATGCCAAAAATAACAAATAAAAGCCCCTATGGCTTCTGTTGGAATTGCAACGCAGGTAGACACGGATTAATTGCATTACCGTTGTACATATAAACGGAAAGATTGCTCGAATAGAATGTAAAATATACTAGAATATTAAAATTTAACATTCAAAAAGTTATTCGTATTACTTTGTTATCCAATCATAATTTTTATTTAAACAATTATTCAAATATAAAAATAATTTTGACTGAAACAAATTTCAATAATATCTTCGAAGATTCAAATAAGTTTTCTTTCATTCAAAATTTTTTATTCAATATTCATTCAAACACAAAAATCCTGTATGTAAAAAGTGCACGACTTACCTCACATGCTGATTGTTTTTCCTGATATTCGACAGATCAGCACCTCTCTTCAGAAACAAAGGCGCGAAACCATTCGGCATAGCCACTTGACCGAAGCCTTCGTCCTTCTGACACGTGTCCAGGCTCTCAAAGCTGCGGTACGGCCTGATCCGTGGAAAATGGTCGACCATAGTGCCGGCGAAACCGTTCGGCAGCAATCTGTCGTAATCCTGCTCCAGACTGTCGGGTGAGTCGTTCTCCGGATGCGAGGCGTTCGATCGATTTGAGTATTCCAAGGAGTCATAGCTGTAGCTCGACGGCGATAGGGTGGCGCAGGTCCTCTCCAAGGATTCGAACTGCAGCAACGAGCTCGACCGAGAGGACCCGGTGGACCGGGAGGATCTCGGTGACGCCGGGTACTCGTCGTAGCTCGTCACCTGATGATGATGGTGATGATAGTCAGCGCCGTGGTGATCGCGACGACGTCGTTTCTTCGGCACCACCGAGTTGCATTCGCTACCGCTGCCGTCCAGCCGCTCGTCTACCAGAATCGAGACGATGTAAGTAATAATAATGATGATGATAATTACGAGGGGCACGCGACGATTCGAAAGAGTAAAAGCGAGACGAGTGAGTGTGCGCGCGCGTAACCTAAACCTACTTCACACAAAATCCACACCACATGTTGCTTTTTAATTCCACGAATTCTCACTTGGATAAATGAAAGAGGAGTTCGACGCTTTAATGACCTACTTTGTAAAATCGAGTAACGGAAGTGATTCAATCTGATGGTCGCCACATGCGTTCCATATGCATTATCCCCGTCCGTCAGGAAGCCGCGATTCATGCAACCGGAAGTAGCGCTTACGGTGCTACATTCCGCCGCGGGTTATCATGACCGTCGCGTGCAACGTGTGATCGATTATCGATCCAAGCATCGTGATTTTTTGCGTAACTTAGATGCGATTGTGTCGTCATGTAATATACGGAAACAATTTCTTTGAGATTTATCTATTCATCTATTTTTAGCATTGATTTTATCTGTATCTTGCAGACATTTCCGACTTTTCCGATCGTTCGTTACAAAGAGAGAAAGTGCATGCTCCTGCAACACGGCAACCACGTGCAGTTGTGTGTTACAATAGTTGCGTATTTCTAGGCGTGTTTGAAAGTACGTGGATAAAATACTATTGAGCTTTAATTCATCAATTTTTTTGCTGAATTTAAACTACATAACTATGTAAATAACGATCAAAAATTAAAAATTATACCTCATTCCATTCTTATATTTTTTTGAAGATAGAATATCGGTTTTAGTATGTTATTTAAATGTTTAATTTAATAATCCATTTCAAATTTTAATACTTCAATAATTTAGCAAAAAGTTGCAATTGAAAATCGCTAGCTTCACAAATATGATTAGGTCATTGAGAGAAAAGAGAAAGTAGAATTGCGCGTAAACAATATCCAATTCTCGCGGTTGTCGCTTTGGGCGAGAAACACGGAATTTCACAAAATCGTCTTCAACGCACAGTAATCAAACAATCATGCTTATAATTACATATTATATATTTATGTTAAAGAAGTTAAAATTCTCACCTGCAGATCTCTGTTTCGATCTGATGTGAATCACACTCTCAGTTTCCGAATCGGATCCCAACCAATACGTCGTTCCACTGCGTTCGGAGTCGCTTTGAAGATCGTCGGATGTTTCTTCCAAAATTGTTTCCAAAAAATCCACGTGCTGTACTAATACTGTATACTAAAAAAAAAAAAAAAAAACATTTCGGTTCATTCAAGTTTCAAATAAAAATCTAATATTTCTATTCATCTTAATACATAATTGTTATATTTATAGGTTTCACATGTTGCACACATAGACATAGTATGAATAGACGGAGCATTGCCCACTTCTCTCAATAGAAAAGCGTGTCGTCAGTGAATATACAAATGTACGAAATATACAT